GGATTAATTTTCACTGCAGAGTTATAAACATTCAAAATGTCAAAAATTTATACTTTATGTGTTTATATCCGCCCATGAATTGACAATAATTCTGAGCTGATATCTACCCCAAATGTACTTTAAACTTACAAATTCTGACCCTGTGCTGAACCGTCTTTCTCCTTTCTCTTTTTCATCCATGAACGTTGTATTCACACCAGAATAACGTTAGCAGACATTATTCACATCGGAAAACGCCCCTGTTTCGGTTTTTTGAGGCCTGCGTTATTCAAGTAGGAAAGCACAATTAACATACCTGGGATGTGATGCAAGAGGAACCCTTTCACGATGAATCTCCACAATCTACTGAACCAAACTTCTACGAGTCTCTGAATCTCCACAATCTACTGCAACTCACTGAGTGTTTCATGTGCCTCTTCTCCACACAAAGAGAATAGAGTGAAGCAATGGAAGGGAATAGAGAGATGACAGAAGAAAGAAATTGGCTTTGTTTCCTATCATATCACGATCGTGAATCGTGATCTTCCCAATTTTCTGGCAAAAAAGAGAAGATTACAAATAGGCTTTTAGTGAGAATCTTGCACCCCCTCTAGAATTACTTTTTTGAGTAATGGAGCACAGAGAGGTAATCTGATTTGGCATAACATTAATTTAGAAACCAATCGATTCATGATCAGGTCAAAATTACTTTATTTCATCGCTTATTTTTAAATATTTCATCATTAATAAAATTAATTTTTATTTATCACATTTATTTTATTTGTATTTAAACCCATATATATTCAATTATAATTTAATTATTTCACATGCAATAAAGTTGATCCAGCCAAATGCTAAATTGTTTATGTAAATTTCTTTTCTTTGTATTTTTATAAAATATTTAGGATTCATTTGGTTTGTAGTTGAAATCAGAATGGTCTAATCTCATAGTCTGTTTGATTTAATTATGAATGAGGATGAGAATTGAAATCAATAGAAATGAGATTTCATCCCAATGAAAGGACCATTTCCTCAAATGGGATTCCAATTCTACTCAAGCAAATAATTGAAATCAGAGTAGCCCGTTTCAATTCCGATTCCAGACCTCTGTTGCCGTGAATCAAACGATGCCTTATTTATTTGTTTCCAGTGAACACGAACGATGACTCAAATTCAAATATCGTCGACCACGACACTATTTCAGGATCCAGGTACAGAGGTTTCCTTAATAGGGCGTAGGGCCCATTAACAGAGCTATGGCCCACAGAAATGAAAGATTGATAAGAATTCGAAGATGATTCGTCTGCCAAATCCTACACCTGTCAAAGTGAAAAGATGGCTCTACCATGTTTCGTCGAGATCGGCTTCAGACTGTCAGTGCAAGGCCCGTGGTGTTCGAATAGCCTTGCATGGAGAACATCTCCGTATTTCTGTTGATGGAGAGATATTCCCATTGGAACGTTATAATGGCTGTTGGAACGGAATTTGTTCTGACTGAATCCGGTTTCTATTTTATCAGATCTTATCCCAACCCACAGTCCCAATAGCCCAGCTGTGAACACTGACGATGACTCAAATTCAAATATCGTCAACCACGACACTATTTCAGGATCCAGGTACAGAGGTTTCCTTAATAGGGCGTAGGGCCCATTAACAGTGAGCTATGGCCTACAGAAATGAAAGATTGATAAAAATTCGAAGATGATTCGTCTGCCAAATCCCACACCTGTCAAAGTGAAAAGATGGCTCTACCATGTTTCGTCGAGATCGGCTTCAGACTGTCAGTGCAAGGCTCGTAGTGTTCGAATAGCCTTGCATCGAGAAAATCTCCGTATTTCTGTTCATGGGGAGATATTCCCAATGGAAGGTTATAATGGTTGTTGAAACGGGATTTGCTCCGACTGAATCCGGTTTCTATTTTGTCAGATTTTATCCCAACACACAGTCCCAATAGCCCAGCTGTGCATATGCAACATCACCATGGCCTTCGTGACGAGTCCATATATGCTCCACACAAGACAGGATTCAGTCTATGCAAGTTCCGTTTGAACGGTCTTTATAATCTTATATTGGGAATATTTCTCAATGCAATAAAGCATAAAAGTATTAAGATGTTCCTAATGCAAGGCTGTTAAAATTGTTCAAATGATTTTCAAACAGAGCATGCACTGACTGAACCCGATCTCTGAAGACCGATATCATAACATGTATCAGCTGTACATCGAAAACATCTTTCCTACTTATATGTTATTATTATTTATACAAGATGTTTTCAATACACTATAAGATGTTGTAAAATCGGTTTGAGGAGCAGGTCCCAATTCCTTTTCCCAATGCATAGCTGCGATGGTTATTAGAACTAAATGTTGGGACCCTGGGTTGGGAATAGATCCGAAATGCAATGTAATCGAATCATATTCAAACTGAGGTATATTTGATTTGATAATATAAATCTTATATCCGATTTAACTTCTATAAAATTTAACAAATTATTAAAAAAACAAAAAATATAATCATTTTTCTCAATTAAGGATGATAATTTTCCTCATTTTCCCAATTTGTGCATGGAGCCACTCGAGATGACTTCTCCCATGGGGACATGGATGGGGACATTTTCATCTCCTTAAGCAATGATGGAGTGGGGATGGGAGAGTACTCCCTGCCCTGATCCTGGTCTCATGGGGATCCCCAATTATATATATATATATATATATATATATATATATATATATGTATTCAAACATATTCAACTATATTTTAAAAAGTATTAATATACATATATATTAATATTTTTTTAAAATATAATTGAATATGTTTGAATATATTTGTGTTTTTAATAGGATTGTAATTTTAAACATTTTATTTTTAATTTTTAAATAAAATAACATAAAAAATAAAAACAAAATGATTGACATATTCTGCTCCCAATAGGACAGAAATGGAGATAACTTTGTCCCCGATAATGAGATGGAGATAGGAACTTTTTTTAAGACCCATCTCTGTCCCCCATTGGCCATTGCCATTCCTAATCAGATACATTTGCACTCTTACTTGAAAACAACATAAGATTGTTGGTTAGAGACAAAAGGTAGGATAAAGAATGAAAAGATTCAAACCAAACATATAATCGGTGGCGAGTGGAGACGTTGTCTACTCCATCCTAAGCCATGGCTCCTGTAACTCGTGTTTGGGCTTTCTTGTAAGCCTCTCTTCATGTGGAAAGTTCCAGCATATGTAAAGCTGTGAACAATTAACTGGACCACTGCTATTCTGGGTAGTTTCCATTCTTCCAATTTTCCTTTCTGGACCTTTTAGGAAATAAATATATCAATTAATCAAATAGCCCACATGAGATGTTTGATGAAATGCCAAACAAAAACAATAGCTCTCCATTGTAATTTGTGATTGTGAGCCTGAGCCCCCACACATTCTCGCTATTTTATGTGTTTTAATTTCTTGCACGCAAACCGGAATCTCAGTAATGAAGCTTCGGAATTAGGTTAACTTTCTAATTACCCCGAGTTATTACTTATTAGGACTTCGAGATCGACCCATGAAATTATAAAAAACAAGTTCAAATTTTGATTTTTGATTTTCAAAGTTTGAAGCAGGAGCCGGAGAAAAGTTCAACCGTCATATGGACCATGTTTTTTCACATTCCTCCTTTCTGTTTTTTTGGATTATTATGGGGAGTTGGGAGAGCGGAGAGCCCATCAATGTAGACCTGGCAATTGGGTTGAGTGGGTCGGGTTGAATTTCCGGTTGTGTTGTTAAATGCTAGACCTTAACCCTAAATATTCGGGTTAGGGTTGACCCATGGATCAATTCGGATCATCCTAAAAAATAATTGAAATTTTAAAAAATAAAGAAAATTTACATGAAAAATGTTAAAATTAAAAGAATTAATCTTAAATTTTCAAATATAAAATAAAAAATTTGAATATTTAACAATTTAAAGAGTAAACAATAAAAAGTAAAGACTAAATAGAAAAAATTAAAGAGTGGAAACTTCTAACAATGCACAAATAATCTCAATTAAACTTGACAATCGGGTCAACGGATTGACCCATGACCCAACCCAGTTGTTTTCGGGTTGGGTCATTTTCACATTCGGATAGCTAGATATGAGACCCTAACCCTGTTTTTTTAGGTTGAAATGGGTCGAGTTCACGGTTGGATCAACTTTTTGCCAGGTCTACCCATCATTCATCAACCCATTAAAGCTTTTTCCCCAAATTTCATAATTAATGCGATATTTTGTTACTTATGACAAGAGATATTTCCATATTTACCCAATTCTGCTGCCATTACTGTACGCTACAGCTCTTAATACGCGCAGGGAAATAAATGAAAACAGAAAATTTCCTCGCCACCGATATCAGCACCACCACCAGATTCACATACAGAAAAAGCAAGTATTAAGAGTATCTACATGGTGGTGGTCTGCTGGAATTATAATTTAGAAGTATTTCTAAAATAGAATTATAAAAATTTATGGGTAGTTAAGAAATTAAATTATGAGATATTAAGATTTTAAATTTTTGAAAGAAAATTAAGTACAAAATTAAATTTAGTATTTTATTTACCACCAAGTTTAAGGCAGATTCCAGGAATTATATGCAAAACTTAATCCATTCCTATTTCGAATTAAAAACATAAATATAAAAATGATACCAAAATAACTTACCCCCAATCAACTGACATAAAAGTATAGTAAGCAATCAGGTGAATTTTCATCAAATTATATTTTTTGGCATTGTAGATATTTTCAAAAATTAATAAACTATTTAAATGAATATAATATATATATATATATAGGAGACAAGACCCAAAAAGTGTGCCACCCCAAACACCACCTACGACAGAGGATTATCCTACTTAGTGAACGTCATTTCCTCTTTATAATAATATTTCCTCCTCCGGCTTTACTCCTCCGCCACCTCCCCCACACTCAGTTATCATGTTCTCCCCCCCCCCCCCCCCCCCCCCCCCCTTTTTAATTTTCCCCCCCCCCCCCCCCCCCTCTCTCTCTCTCTCGAAAAAGAAATCACAGAGGTTGGTCATAACTCATATATGAGAGATCATCACTGAGATCCCAAAACCCACAAAGTGAAGCAGGAGGAGAGAGAGAGAGAAGAGAGAAAAAAACAGTCCCCCAGTAGTGGTGGCTATGGCTACACACAAGCCCCACAACAAGACAACCAGTCTCTACAGGATGGTCTTCGTCACCCTTCTCTGTTCTGTTGCCTACCTATTCGGCGTATGGCAACACAGCGGTGGCTCCGACGTTAGCACCAACTCTGCCACCGAACTGCTTGGAACAATCCGGTGCGTTCAGATTAAAAACATCACCCAGTTGCCTGCAAAGCCGACGGTTTTAGATTTCTCGACCCACCACACGGCGGAGGGTGAGATCACCGCGACGCCGGCGAGGGGTCCGAAGTACTTCCCCGCCTGCGACGCCAAGTACAGCGAGTACACACCTTGCGAGGATGCAGTGAGGTCGTTGAAGTTCGAGAGGGATAGGTTGATCTACAGAGAGAGACACTGTCCTGAGAAGGCAGAACTACTCAAGTGTCGTGTGCCTGCGCCTTACGGTTATAAGAATCCGTTCACCTGGCCGACGAGCCGGGATTTCGCCTGGTACGCCAACGTACCCCACAAGGAACTTACGGTGGAGAAGGCGGTCCAGAACTGGATTAGATTCCAACGCGACCGATTTAGATTTCCAGGTGGCGGGACCATGTTTCCCCATGGCGCTGGTGCCTATATCGATGACATTGACAAGCTGATCAATCTCAGAGATGGGTCTATAAGAACCGCCATTGATACTGGTTGTGGGGTAAGCAAAAGTTCCGTTTTTTAAGCCTTTCCTTACTGTTTCTCTTACCCTGTCTGAAGTGTTCTCTCCCCATTGGATTGAGCCGGCCATCTCTGGGTCACCAGTACCCACGAAAATCTTCTTCCTCCTCCTCCTTTTTTCTCTTCTATTTTTGGAATTTTACTGTGAATAAAGCATAAACTATACTATCAACGTTTCAGGATTGAAAGATATTAGTAGCTTTTCTTGTTTTGGAAAAGTATAGGAATTGCTTTTCTTATTTTCCGGAAAATCTGTTCTGCTAGCTGTAATGAATTTTAATTTGATTCGGTTTATGTTTAGCTGTCTAAAGATTTTATATGCCTATATTGCGTTCGATTTTGCCTCGTCATTGTCTCACTGAAATGCTTTTTCGTTGGCTTGGACCGGGGATTTAAATGCATGCATTGATTAGATTTCTATTATCAAATAACATGTGGCAGAGCGCACACGTGAACATGACCCACAGTTTCCAATTCGTTTCGGTTCTGATTTGAAGTTTTTTACTTTCTACTGAAACGATGTTGTAAATTTTGATCATGGATTGAATAGCAGAGGACCCATCAACTGATTTTGTCCAAAAGAGAAAATTTTGGTGGGTTCTCTATTTCTGTCTGTGAATTTAAAGTCTGGCTTCTAATCTTTGCAGGTTGCAAGCTGGGGAGCCTACCTTCTATCTCGAAACATTTTAACGATGTCATTTGCGCCGAGGGATACCCATGAAGCGCAAGTGCAATTCGCTCTCGAGAGAGGGGTTCCGGCGTTGATAGGAGTGTTGGCTTCAAACAGGCTTCCTTACCCGTCAAGAGCTTTCGACATGGCTCACTGTTCTCGTTGCCTCATTCCATGGGGTCAATATGGTAACTGAGAAATATCAGACATAACTGTGCCTGGCTTCTGTTCGATGATCTAAATCGATGATACTCGATATGGGTTTCCATAATTGGTTGGTTTTATGTGCAACAGATGGGCTTTACTTGATCGAAGTCGATCGAATTCTACGCCCTGGTGGATACTGGATTCTATCGGGGCCCCCAATCAACTGGAAGCGACACTGGAAAGGATGGGAGAGGACGGAGGAAGATCTGTACAAGGAACAGTCGACGATTGAGGCCGTAGCCAAGAGCCTCTGCTGGAAGAAAGTGGTAGAGAGAGGTGATATCGCAATTTGGCAGAAACCCACCAATCACATTTACTGTAAAAAGAGCCGAAAGGTCATCAAGCAACCAAAGTTCTGCCAGGGCCAAGATCCTGACAAGGCCTGGTACAGTCTGTCTTTCCCCTCTGCAGTTATTCTTCTCTGTTTTTTTCTGCTCTGTCCTCGAGCCTGTCTTTAATGCGTTCACACACAATGCAGGTACACTAAAATGGAGACTTGCTTGACTCCTTTGCCTGATGCGTCCGACATAAAAGAAATTGCTGGTGGGCAGTTGGATAAATGGCCTGAGAGATTATATTCAGTCCCACCCAGAATTAGTAGCGGAAGTCTAGAGGGAATTACAGCGGAGTCCTTCAGGGAGGATACAGAGTTGTGGAGGAGGAGAGTGGGCTATTACAAGAGCGTGAACAATCAACTGGGACAGAAGGGGAGGTATCGGAATTTGCTGGATATGAATGCTCACCTGGGTGGGTTTGCAGCTGCTCTCATCGATGATCCAGTTTGGGTCATGAATGTAGTCCCTACAGAGGCGAAGCTCAACACACTTGGAGCAATTTATGAGCGTGGACTGATTGGAACATATCAGAATTGGTAATTAAGCTTTGTGCTCTACTCAGAACTCGTATTTAATTCATTCAAACTATGGAGTTTGTCACTAATCGTGTATACTGTTATTAATCTGCTTTTCTTATTGAAGGTGTGAAGCCATGTCTACGTATCCCAGGACATATGATCTCCTTCACGCTGATTCAGTTTTTAGCCTTTACAAGGGCAGGTGATTGATAATTACAGAGAGATTGCTCGGTAGTTTGATGTTTTATATATCCACAGAATCCTCAAAACAGACCATGGTTTTGTGTTGCAGATGTGAAATGGAAGATATTCTGTTGGAGATGGACAGAATTCTAAGGCCAGAAGGTACTGTAATCTTCAGAGATGATGTGGATGTTTTGTTGGAGATCAAGAGCATCACAGATGGAATGAACTGGGAAAGCAAGATTGTGGACCACGAGAAGGGGCCTCTTGAGAGGGAGAAGCTTCTGTTTGCAGTGAAGACATATTGGACAGCTTCAGCCCCTGTCTCAGAGAAAAGAGAGTCCAAAACAGCTTCCTAGAACGTTTTCATTGATTCTGCCTTGGGTTACCTCAATAATTTTCTTTTTGATTATTGGTTCACTAATTCTTTCAACATGATTTGTTCAAGCAATTTTTTTTTTTGGGTTTATCCGTTAGGATTGAGTGACTATACAAATCAGGGGAGATGACCCACCTCACCGGTCAATGGGCTCTGCCTCTTTGGAGTTGGCTTTTACACCAAACAACTTTTAGCCATTGATTGATCTTTATAGTGTTCTGAATAGACATAGTTGTTCTTTGGATTGTCAAGAAAATTAAATAATTCATTGTACCTTCTATTTCCAGTACAGTACAGTGCAATTAATCAAGAGGATGGGTTACTTCACTCCAAAAACAAGTTTTCAAAAATAAATAAATAAAACTGGAGTGAGTTGAGAGTGACAAAAGTGCATAAAGCTTGAGTTATTAGTTTAGTTGAGTCATGCATGCTTCACTATCATTCAAAGTTCCAAGCTTCTCCTCCTCCTATGGCTATAAATGGGGTGGACCTGCTATGTACACAGAGAAATGAATGGCATTGACAGCTTCATTGCTCTGGCGCCCCAAACGTTAACCCAGATGGCTCGAGTCCAGAACTGCTCCTCTGAGTTTGTCAACCTCACCAAACCCCGTCTCCTCCACTTGGACGTCGAATAATTCAGAATCTTTCCAATGTTTCAGTCTCTTTTCTTTTCTGTAACGATGTATTTTATTGAGTGGCAACTGAGCTGCAACTCAGCAATTCCACATATGTAGCAGTTTAGTAATGAATAAATAAAATATGTTGTCCTTGTGGGGACATAACATGTGCATTCGTAGTGCTCATCTTGGGCATTCTTGAATGAAAATGACAAAGGGAAATATTTTTTTCTTCCAGAAACGATGACTTAAACAACGCTGAAGCAAATCTTGTAGCTTTGCTAAATGAAGAAAAGAACCCAAATGATGATAAATCCACATAGCAAAGTATCTTGCCCTTATGACTTTGATATTTTTTTGGGTAATTATGTTAATTAACTCCATGAGTTGCCGTTCTTCACCTTAAAATATTTCCAATTAGAAGCAAAATAACGAGGTCTAACGATGGAGTTGATTTAGGCAGGACACAAGCCCTTTACTATGTGGAAGTGGAAATTAAAACTTTCATTTTGTTTGGTAGGCACATGATTTAGCGGGCTTTAAAAACAAATGAAAAGGCAATTTTCAGCGACTAAAAACTTCATTTGAAGCTTTCCAATTTTCGGTCTTTTTGCACACTCATCTTCATGTCTTTTGATCTACATGATACCAAACGGGAAAAGACCATTTTTTGGCCTTTTGAACTTCCCCACAAACCAAAAGATGTGCCAAACACCACCTAAATAAATAACAATATTACTATTAATGCATATAACCCATTTAATTTACTTCTTGCATTTCCATTGACTCTGACCCAGAGAGAGAGAGAGAGAGAGATTTTCCCCCACCAAAGGGCAAAGGCATTGCATATGTAAGAAACTTTATTATAAGAATGGTGCCCCCTCCAGTTAGAACATCATATCTCTCTCACCAGCTAAGCTAATTAGGAGAGGTAACCTATGGATCATAGGTTGAAGGAACTCCTACTTTAATCTTGCTTAGAATAAGGAAGAAGTTAGTCTTGCAGCCTTGGGACCAGACTAATACCAATTGATTCCAAGCACAAATGCATTTTCCAACCTATTTATTTATTTTCTTCTTGTGAGTTGCAATGCCAAAGATCCCATGACTTAATAATAATAATAATACATTGTTGCTTAAAACAAGAACACGGAAAACATGTTGTTGCAATGGATTTTTTTTCTGGTGTGTGAAAACATAAGTTTTTGTCTTTGAAACTAAAAATGGTTTCACCTTGTTTTAAGAAAACATAAATTCAAGAAAACATTTACATTGAAAACACCCCTTCATGGCAACATGTGCCAGATCCTTTCCCTTGATTCTGGTTTCTATTTCCTTTTTACTCTCACTTATAGGAATCTTCTCTCTCTGAAGGACTTTGGGCTTCAGAGCTTCTGTCTAGTTTGTCAACAAAAAAAAAAAAAACAGGGGATTTTGGATCTAGTATCCTTTTTGGGTCTTTCCAATTTTTCTGTATTTGATTATTGTGGGAGGTAGAGTTTTTGTTTGAGCATATTCCTGGATTGTACAAGCACAAAACAATGTTACTTCTCTATAAACCTTTAAGAAGTAAAGGAGGAAAAAAAGTTAAAGAATGCAAGAGATGTGGGAATGGTTGCTGAGTCTCTGACATTGATCTGTTGCTTGAGTCCTTCAAAAGTGAAATATGCTCTGGGTAACATGTGATTTACTAATAAATATTTCTACACTTTACATGATTTAAAGATACATTACTTCAATATCAACCTCAATGAAGGAGTCTTTCTCTATACAAGCTTTGGCCTTTATACTTGGACAGAAACAAAAAGAAGAAATTAAGATGCAAATAAAAATGAAGAAGAGGGAACAAACAGTCTTGAGCCCTACAACAAACCAGACAACTCAAAAGGGATTGAAAAGCTAAAAGAGTTCGTCACAGTCACGCGTAAACTGAAATTCAGATCTACCCAAAAAATAAATAAATAAATATATATATATAAGAAAAAAATCCTAAAATGTTAGGCAAGTAATTAAGTCTAAATTATTGGACTTACAAAAAAAATTATAAATTATTGAAAGCCACGTGGAGACCATGTGCTTAGTGACTTAGTCATAAGCAACGTGAATCTAACAATAAACTATTAGGGGTGGCGTGTGGAATCCACGCGCCTCCACATTAAATAATAATTTATCAAATAAACATTTTTCTATTTTTTAGTATTTGATTCACTGTAAGGAAAAGGTGAGGAACATGCCAAGGTCGCAACTACAAAGTTGGTTAGGAAAAGAGCAAAAGAGGTTGGTCCCTAGTTGAATGTCCAAGTTTCATACATGTGCCCTAGACTAGGGCATTATGTAGGAGCTCAAATCGTTAAGCAGTTTATTAATGAGTTTAAGTCTAATCTCAACATGGTTAGATGTCTACTCAACTTGTTCTATTTTGCTCAATAAGCTTATGGCAATCGACCTAGTAAATTATCATTCTGTCTTCCTTCCTCTTTTTTTGTCTTTGGCCCAAGGAAATTGATAACCCATAATCCAATGTGGCCCAAAGGATGGCCACGTGGCAAATTGAAACATTGGCCAGCAATTTTCAGAACTTGCGAGAACAGACTTGCAAAGTTTTGGATGATGTAGCAACCTCCACATTGACCTAAATCTTACAAATGGCCTATTTTTGGTGGATGAACCTCAAAATGAACAATACTGTATACTGATATGCCACGTGTTCATATCTTTGGCCATGTCATACAATAAAAGTTTCAGCCATTGGTGGTTAGGGGTGTTCATGGTCTGGTTCAGTGCGGTTTGAAGAAGATCTCAGATCAAACCAGTAAATTATAGTTTGAGAAATTTTTAAACCAAATCAAACCATTTTGGTATGAAAACTAAACCATTTTATTACGGTTTGGTGCGGTTTCTAATACAGTTTGGGGACTTTGGACCATTCTAGATTTCTTTTGGGCTTACCCAATTAGAAAACGACACATAGCTCCCCTAAAAATTAAAATTTAAAACTTTTATTTATTATTTTATTATAAAATAAAGAGTTCATTACATAATTTTATGCATTCCATTTAGATATATTGTATATAATGTATATATATATATATATATATATAAAATTTCAACTTATGGTTTACAGTTTGATTCGATTTATAAAATTCAATAAATCAAATCAAAACCGAACCAAATTCTTTATAGATATAAACCAAACCAAACTGCAAATTCAATTTGGTTCGATTCGGTTTTGCAGTTTGAACCGTATAATGAACACCCCCATTGGTGACCCAATTATTGCTTTTTTGACATAATGAAGACAGTGGGCACATATCTTTCCTTGGGCTTGGATAAAGGGTAGGCCCATGAAACACTAGTCTGGAATCTTAGGATGCATGTCCTCGAAGCTGTAGACAGTTGTGAGAGCTGGTCTCTGATCACATATCGTTTGTCTTCTTTGTTTCTCACTTTTCATGAATGGAAAAATGAAAAATAATAGAGACCCATGAGAATGAATGAATGAATTAATGATCGTTGAAGTTGCTAAAAGAGAATTGTTAATTGTCATCTGGGATTTGCAGCTGGTAAGGGACTTTGAACCAACTACACTCATTGAATTCAATTAATAACAGTTTAATTACTGAAACTTTTGAATTAACAATAAGGGAAATATCAGGACAGACCTGTGGAGCATTTCTAGAAGCTGATAATGAAATATACATGATTACCAATTCTAACAGAAAATGATAAACCCAGAGAGAATACATGGGACCCACCTGGACCTTCACTTTCAAAACGCCATTATTGAACATAAAGAAGAGCAAGCTTTGATTTTCAGAGTTTTTTTTTTTTTTTTTTATTATTATTTAAGCAAACATGAAGAGGACTGACTGGGACTGTGAAAACAAAATGCTTAAATGCATGATATGACCCCGTTTAGGACCCACTCATCTTTTATTTTGCCAAACAATGCATTTAATGCACAACCAGTACTCACAGGAACAAATTTTGACAGTTCTTTTTCTGTGTTTTTCCCTTTTCTTTTCCCATTCTTTTCATTTGATTACCGGGATAGTTTGGGTGGAGATTCATCCACCAAGGAAATTTAGAGTTTCCAAAAGCATTCCACATGGCAGCTTAGGTGGCAACCCCAAAACAGATTATAATTCTATGTTATCACTAGGAGATGTTCTCAATACATGGCTGAGATGTGCTGTGAAACGTTATGAGGGGTTGATTTAAAATCTTCTTGGAGGGGAAAGATTCAACAAATGAATCCTCGGCTATATCTATATCGCAACATTAAATAAATTTCTAACAAGAAGAGTCCTAAAATTGACTCATAAGTCATAAATTACCTATTCATCTATAGTTAGTTAAAATGTAAAACAGAAGATAAAAACTAAATCCAGATTTTTTTTTTTTTTTGTATTAATCACCACCTCATACACTTTTACGAATCATTACTTCTTTGAATAAAATAAACAGTACAACATTACATCAACAACTCTTTTCTTTGACAATAACAATAAATCACATCACCATTATCAAGTGTACCAACCGGACTACCAGATGAAACTATACAACGAATATGGACTAAAATTGAGTGTTGATGTGCACAAAAAGCTACTGATCAAACCACAACTTATGCAACTGGTAGGTGCATGTGAAATGCCTTTGTTGACTATATAAAATAATGATATTTTATTTT